AACTTTACTAAAAAAATCTCAAGAATTTAGTAAAAAATCGTCCTGCCTTTCTGCCCATTTCAAAACATCGTTCAAAATAAAGGCATCCTCCATTTGGATTACAGAAAAAGGGGAAGACCATTTTTGTCCAAAAATCAAATTTAAGTCGGCCAATAAAAATAAAATAAAGGCATCCTCCATTTGGATTACAGAAACAGGACAAGACCATTTTCGTCCAAAAATCAAATTTAAGTTGGTCAATAAAAATAAAAGAAAAAATATCTCCATACTCTTTATTTTTAAGTTTCATTTCACAATAGACTCGAGATTTTAAAAGATATCTTGAAGTGTGACAATTGTAGATATTTTTTAAGCCAAACAAATCTCAAAAGATATGTTTTTTTTTAAAAGTCATCTTCCCAAACTTCTAAAGAGAGAAGGGCTTCATGAATGTGAGAGGTTATTGGAAAAAGGGAGAGATGTGTTTTGAAAAAACATAAGAGGATAGAGAGAAACCCATGAAGAGAGAAAAGAGAGAAGTTTGAGGTACATAAGTAAAAAGAGAAAAATAATTGAGTTTGAGGTATATAAGTGAAAGAGAAATAATTGAATTTAAAAAAAACATATTTTTTTTACATTTGTTTATATTAAAAAATAGATTTATTAAAACATATGTTTTGAAACTTAGGTTTATGAAGAAATTAAAAAATCATATTTATTTATATTAAAACATAGATTTATTAAAATATATGTTTTGAAACTTGGGTTTTTCGAGAAACTAAAAATAAAAAATAAAAAAATATTTTTCTCAAAATAATGCGATGGGTTTGGACGGCTAATAAAAATAAAATGCGGTGAGTGTGTAGATCGAACACGCGACCTTCAGATCTTTAGTCTGACACTTTGGAACCAGTAAATAAAGACGGCGGCTTTTTTTATAAAAATGGAGATGGGTGACACTTTAAAACTTGAAATTTGGGAGTTAATAGGGTTAACAATGGCTGGGGCTTCTGCATCAAACAAGCTCCTGAGTTTGGGAACAAAGATAGTGGCGGTAGGAAGGAATTACGCAGCTCATGCCAAAGAGCTCGGCAACGCTGTGCCAAAGGTCGCCTCCATTTTCTCTTCTCATTCATCAAAATCTCCCCTTTTTGCCACGGTTCCATGATTCTTTTTAGGGAAATGTATATTCTATTTATTAGCTGACAGTCTCTATATGAATTCATATTGCTTTTCGAATACGATTTTCTTTTTCAATCAGATCTTGCTTACTGATCAAGTGTGATGATTTGCTTCCTCTTGATTTTGTGATCATTTGTGTACCAATGTATCTCCCATTTAAATGTGAAATTGGAGAGCTGCAACGGTTTCATTATTTCAAATTGTAAATCCCTACAATCCAAGGATTTACAACTAGGAATAACTGGTAAAATCCCCTTAATCAAGGGATTATATTTGGCATGTAATTGTAATATAAGTATCCCTTTTGGGGTAATAACAAGAAAGGTCAATTCTCCAAAAATTAACTATCAATAACGATCCAATCCGTCACTCACCAGTGATTTCTTCATCTCTCTTGATCGTAGAGATTTTTTTAAGGAAGGTAGACATTCCCGTTGTATCTTGCTTTCATCTTTCATCCATTGATTTCATCTTGCTGTTGGTGTACCATATTGCTGCATCTTACATCCCGCTGATTTCATCTTGCTATCGGCGTGTCATTATTTTTGCATCTTGCATCCCATTAATTGCGTATTGGGTTTGCAAGTTTTGTAACTTGAACGAGATGCAAATGGAGAGGGTTTTGCAAGTTTTGCAACTTGGATGAGTTGCAAAATTTAGAGGGTTTGCATGTCTGCAAGCGTGATTTGCAAAGGGCACTTGGATGTTCTTGGAGCGTAGGATCAAAGATGTTTTTAATCTCCAAAAGATAGTTCAAGAGGCTGTGTTTGGCGGAGGTAGTGGGTGCATGTTTAGGGAGTTCTTTGCAAGGTGGAGGCTATTTCGTACATGAATTGAAAGAGGGATATGACGGTACCTTTCTATTGATCTTGGGACTCAACTTCTTTCTCTGGGTTCCCTTATTTTTCTTCTGATCAGAGCCATTCAAGATCTCCATTCGAAATCACTTGATTGGCATCGAACAGAGATAAAATCCGAGCCATTATCTTCGCTCAAGCTCCTAGCCATATTCTTGACCTCACGCTGTCATGGTGGCCTTCGAATCAAGGCTGAACTCGTTCCGAGCAAATCAGGCCAGGACCTGAGACTTGCCCATGGTTGAGTCACTGATGAGCACCATCTTGAACACGTAGTCGATATTCCGGCTCGGATTGCTCGCCATAGTAACACACCACCGAGATTCTCTCTTACTAGCTTCCCTCTCTCTAGAAAGAAGCCTGTAAATTCCTTGCTACTTGTATTCCATTGACGCAGTTCCGTCAAATTTCCCTATTCTATGTCTATTGCCATAGACAACCAAAAACCTTGTCTGTCTGAAGACTCCACCAATGTCATCCCTGATGGGAACACTATGACCAATGGTAATAGCTTTTCTTCCTTTGTTAGTGATTTCACTAGCCTTTTTCATTTGACCAACAATGACAATCCTGGTAATATTCTTGTCTCTCACATCCTTGAAGGTGAGAATTATCCACAATGGAGTCGAGCTGTGACTACTGCTTTGAGTGCCAAAAATAAGCTCTCCTTTGTGGATGGTTCTTTAATCATACCTCCCATCTCTTCTTCTAATCATTTTCTATGTAAAAGATGCAATGATATGGTCCGATCCTGTATCTAAAATTCTCTCAATAAAGAGATTGCTGAAAGAGATTACTGATAATATTTTTTATAAAACCACAGCTCAAGGCATGTGAGATGATTTGAAAGATCGCTTTTCTCAAAGCAATGCACCTCGTCTTTTCAAGTTACGACGGGATCTTGCACTTGTTTCTCAAGGTTCTTCCACGATTTCAGCTTATTACACCAAACTTAAATCTCTTTGGGAAGAACTTGCTTCTTATACCCCTCTTCCACCTTGTTCTTGTGGGTATTCTAAGGCCTTGCATGACTATCTACAACATGACAGATAAATTTCATTTCTCATGGGACTCCATGAGTCTTATCACCCAATTCGAGGCTAGATCCTTCTAATGGACCCTCTTCCTAAAGTCAATAGAGCTTATTCTCTTCTTTTTCAAGAAGAAAAGCAGTAGCAGGTGGCTACAAAAACAATTTCCGTCGTAATTTGATCATCCCACATGCCTTGAGCAGTGGTTTCATAGGAAATACTATCAACAATCTCTTTATTGACAGAAGTTTGGATCCAGTATCAGACCATGTCATTGCATCTTTTTCATAGAAGTGGGTATATAAAGTGACTCGGTAAGGTAAAATGACAAGGAATTGGTGGAAGGGAGATTTTGATAAGGGAAAATGTTCTCATGAAATACTGACAAGGAATTAGTGGAAGGGAAATTTTGATAAGGGAAAATGTTCTCATGAAATACTACATCAGAGAAGTGAAAATAGAATTGGTGGAAAGGTTGAAAATAGAATTTCCGATCCAGGATCGGACCATGTCATTGCATCTTTTTCATAGAAGTGGGTATATAAAGTGACATCGGTAAGGTAAAATGACAAGGAATCGGTGGAAGGGAGATTTTGATAAGGGAAAATGTTCTCATGAAATACTACATCACGAGAAGTGAAAATAGAATTGGTGGAAAGGTTGAAAATAGAATTGGTGGAAAGGTCAAGAAGACGGTAGCCTTTTTGAGCATGGGATAACCAAGGAAAACACATTTGCGAGTGCGAGGGTCGAACTTATCCTGATTTGAATCGATTTTTTTTTTTTCATTGACCCAAATGGGATAATTATATTACAATTACATGCCAAATATAATCCTTTGATTATGGAAATTTTACAGGATATATGCTATTCCCAGTTGTAAATCCCTGGATTGTAGGGATTTTTATTTTCTCCCTTAGACAACCCTCTTCAACTTCGAGTTTTTTGTGACTCTGATTGGGCAAGTTGCCTTGATACCCGCCGCTCTACCACTTGATATTGTGCCCACTCTCTTATATCTTGGAAAACCAAGAAGCAACATACTGTTAGTCGGTCTTCCGCCGAGGCCGAATACCGAGCTATGGCTACTGCCAGCTGTGAGATCATTTGGTTACGCTCCCTGCTGCATGACTTGGATGTTTATCACTCACCACCTGCCGTTCTTTATTGTGACAATCAAGCTACACAAAGCTACATTATAGATTTCAGTGATGCATGACAGTCTCATCTACTCTTTTAATTATTAAGGAAGGAAAAAGGGATGGTCTCTTCTACTTTGAGCATCCTGAATATCTGTAGTAAGTTTGATTTATTCGGTATTTGTGAATTAGTTTTTGCAGTTTCAATACCGTTGTATTTTCTACTGTGAAATCTGAGAGAAGCTCCTCTAAGCTTCTTCTTGATGACATTTTCAACATGAAATTGTTGGCTTTTGTTTGTATGCCATTTCTTCTAATAATGCATGGAGGATATTGCTTGAAATTGTTACCAGGATTTTACTTTTCATTATCAATGAAAAATGGAGTCCATATATTCTGTTTGATCCCTGGATCTTTGAGATGTTAGGCGAGCGGTTAATCTTATTTATATTGTGCTTGATTTACTCCTTCATTCAATTAGGAGCCAGTTCTATTCTTGAAGCCCACATCTTCTTATCTTCAAAATGGGGGTGCCATTGAAGTCCCTCATCCTTTGGAGTCATTGGATCATGAAGTCGAGTTAGCAGTCATTGTTGGGCGAAATGCTCGTGATGTACCCCAAGGAACCGCCATGGACTATGTTGGAGGTGCTCTCTGCTTTCGAGAAATTTTGTCCTTTAAATACTTTTAAGGGAGTATTTTAGTAAAAAAAATTGATTTGCATGGTAGCAGGCGATTTACTTCTCTCTCTCTTTTTCTTGCCCCTCCCTTGAAGAACCAAGCAATGGTACTTTCGTTTTTTTCATAATCAAGCAAGCATCATGCCAGTGACCTCTAATTGTTACGTGGCTACATATACTAGTACTAATTGTTACACTTATAACTGTAGAACAGATTATTTCGTGATAAAAGTCTTGATAATTGCACTGAAACAGATCACGCCCCAGCCATGAACTTTGTCACTGAATTCTGGTTATAACTTGGGTAGTATATTTCTATTTCTCATCTAGGTCATGCTAATGTGTGTTAAACAAACAGGTACATGATCACATTGATATCTCATATTATCTACCTTAGTAACATTGACCTTGGACCTAGAGCTGCTGATATTTATATTCTTGCTGTCGTTACATTTACAAAGGAGAATCAGGTTTTACAACTTTGCTTAGAGGATCATTCTTAGCAGATTGTTGGCAAATATAGCTATGGGTGATATATCTTTGTGGCCCTCATCCTCACTCCTCCCTAACTCTCTAATTTGCCAGTCCATGTTTTTCCAGCTTCTTTTCTATTCCTTTCTTTCTTTTATTAGATGTGTACATCTCTAATTCTTTTATTAGGGGATACTTGATGTGTGCTTCATAATCAGTGAATCGGTTATTTATCAAAAAGAATGAATGTAGCTATGGATGGTTTTGACTTCTAACTACAGTAGACACCAATCTATGGGATGATTTAAAAGCTCAAGAAGCTCTTTAATTTAGGATTAAGTTGTTGGAAGAACTTTTGAATTTTTCCCTATATTTCCCCTTATATTGGTCCTTTACTTCAAAAAAGAAGCCCTTTAAAATTAAAGGGTTCCTAAAAAAGAGTTTTGTATTTTTTACTGCAGTGGCCCTAAAAAATAAGAGTTTTGTATTTTTTACTGTAGTGGCCCTTTACTTCCTGCATATTTGATCTTCGATGCATGTCTTTATGTCTAGCTCTTCGTTTTTTATTGTATATAGTGTTTCCCTAGCTCTTGGTTTTGGTTTTTCCAAACTCTTGCTTGGGTTTTCTACCGTTTCTTTTTCCTCTCTTTAATGCTTTTTCTCTTTTTTCTTAGAATCAGCCAGGTTTGCATATTTGCCAATTCAAATTGGATTGACATGAAAAAATGCTTCATCAACTGATCTGGTTCTAATATCATTGGGTTTTCTCTTTTGATCAAGATAATGACCATCATTGGGTATTCTGGATGCTGGACCTACTCTACCTTCCATTTGCATATTAACTGATCTATTTACAAGATTACTATTTGAAGGCCCAAGAAGTTGGTATATTGATTTGTGATGAGTATCACGTATTAGTTATTACCTTTAGCAAGGCTGCTTGCTATTCTCGTTAACAGTCTTTTGCAGTCAATAGAAACCATTATCTCTGCTAGAATTGTGCAAACTTGTTTTCTACTAGTCCATCTGCAGTAGCTGAGGAGAGGCCACTCCTTGTCTACTTAATTTATCAACCAAGTCTTGAAAATATTTCTATAAAACCCACACTTTGGGCAAAGTTCATAGCCTATTAAATGCATAGATTTGCATGGTTTCTCTTGTATGCCACAATGACAACGTTGAGCCAATTTTCTGATCACCAATGTGTTGGAATATTACTCAGGAAAGCAACAGTTCAAGAAGGTTTAGCCCTTTTAGCTACTCCCAGTCAATCAGCCTGCGACATTGTCTGCTGCTCTTGTACAATCTTTGCAACAGGGACAATGCATTAAAACTAAGTTGATGGAAACATTATATTATGATTTTGTTTAAGAGTCCTTACCTTCTGTCATTTTAGTGGAGTCGACAATGTCGATCAAGCTGTTAGCGAAAAAAAATGAAACTTTCAACTGAGCATCGAAGAAATATGGTTTTCTACACCTGAAATCGATTAATAAATTATATGCATCCAATCTCAAATAGTTGGGAAAAGGCTCTGAGGATGATGATAATATGAAGGGTTACTTGCGTCAGAAGCAGTCTAGAAGGATTAAAGGAGTTGAAATTTCTCTAAAATATACTTGTTGATATGTGAAGATGAATCAGACTTTGTAACTAAATCTAGAGTAGTCATAACAATTGATTAGGTAAACGTTAAAAAAAAATAAAATTGATATGGTAAAATGCACTATACTATGTGGCTTTGTGCAATAGATATCTGGAATCTAGAATTCTTATGAGGAAGCCAACAAAGATATGGCATGTAGGATTTGTTGGAGTGAGGCCCTAGACAGTTAACTGATCCAAAATCTCTGAAGATGAGAATTAGAAGTGAGAGCTTCAGGAACAAGACAAATGAAAAAGCAACTAGGAAGTTAAAGAGCAAGAAACATGACAGAAATTAAAGAAGCAATAACTTGAGGAACACGACAGACATTAAAGAAGCAAACACATGTCCTAGAGCAACTAGAAGTTATCTTTAAGCTCTTCGTGTTTTTTTTTGAAATTATCTTTATGCTCTTTGTGTTACAGTTGCTGGACATGTAAATTTCATGTGCTTTGCCATAACAACCTAACCTGAGATATATTTGAAGCTTCAATAAGTATAGAAAAAACCAAAAGGATTTTTGGTAAGCGAAGAACTATGAAATCTTCCTGAAGTTGCAATAATATGTTGTCCTAAAGAAAGAAATGGGAGGTTCTTGGTGTCTCCCTCAACTGGAAACCAAATACTGTGAAGTTTTTAGGAAGAGTATTAATGAAAGAAATACAAATAGAGTTCCGAGGGCTTGTATTGGATTGTATATTTAGTGTGTGCCAGTTTCTAGTTTGCCTGCCAAAATGATGGATTAGGGTTTTCCAAAATAAAGGATTTTGTTTAGTCATGGCTTTGATTCTATGTCAGACTTGAGTGAGACAAGGAATAAGGACTTGAATAACGGAAAGATATATTCCTTTCTGGTAGGAACAACTAATCGAATATAACTCTCCTGTGTTTTAAAACCTTGATTAGAAGGTCGGATCGATCATTCGGGACCAATCCAAGTTGCCGATCCCGGCTGGATCTGGCTGATTCTTTGGTGTGAGATTCAGTTCCCCAAAAAAAAATGATATAAAAAATTTTAAATTTGAAAAAAACTTAAAATTGAAAAAATTAAGAAAATGAAATGGGTGGGAACCAGGCAATTCGACATATCTGAATTACCTGGTTCCCTTACAGACTTGCTTGGTTCCTTGATAGAACCAGGTGATTCTATCAAATTCGAAACAATTCTTGGTTCCAACTAGGAACCAGGTTGGACCCTACCAATTCCCAATCCGAATCGGTGATTCCCCGACTAGATCGACGATTTTTAAAACACTCGAATACTATTACGACACATCGACAGTCTCTCATGCACTCCAATTGACTTGCATTTGCAGCTGGTGGTAATAGCACCTTTTTTATTCTATACTTTCTCTTTGTTGATGGTTTGGTAACTATATTTAGATGAGAAGGTGATATGGCCCCCTTTTTTTGGTAGTCTTCCCCCCCTCCCTCTAGAAGTGTCTCTTCCTTTATGTGCTCATCTTTCTTCCCTGTTAGGAGATTTGGAACTTTTAGGCCATTGGGTATGGCATAAAAGATTTCTCCAGATGAAATATTTGGACAATTATATCTGCAAGTTAAATGCTATTAATTTTTAGATAATATGATAATTGTTTGGGTAAATATAATGTGTATAATGAATTTTTGTACTTTATATTTAATCTATAAAAAAGATCAGGAGCTTTATTCAATTGGAGGCCATCTTTCTCTTCACTGTCTCTAATCATAAAAAGGATCTTTGCATTTCAACATGTCAATGGTGCTTTTGAATCCATACTCTATAGTTTACATTTCAAGTATTAGTAGAAGTTTGGCAGTTAATGCCTACTGATTCAAATCACAGGTTATGCACTTGCCTTGGACATGACTGCCAGAGAAATACAATCTTCTGCTAAGGTATACATCTGAGCTTTTGTATTTTAAATGTTGATTTTGTTACAAATTTTTTTAAAGAGGAAATATGTAAGTTAAGTTGCTACATTTAGCCTTTGTCTATGGAAGCTAACAACTTTCTTCAATCTTGTCGCATCATTTCAATCTTGTCGCATCATTTGAACTTCACCACTTAAGGGATGTGCACTAGATTTTGCTACATTTCGCAGTCAGACTTGGATGGTTTTGTGATCTAAACTGCTCAATCGACCTGTGGAACATTGCTTTTTGTGAGGTTGTTTTCATAATCAATGGAGTCATTCCCTTTTAATGGAAGGATGTGGCTAGATCCCTATGCCTTTATATTAGGAAGATGAAGGTAATATAATAGTATACTTAGGCCTTCATGAAGGTACGGCAATTTTCTCTATACACACAAACAGGAGCATGTGTTTGAGTTCGTGTATGTGTGCGCGCGCGTGAGTGCGTGTGTGCGTGTGCTTCTGAAAGATGATAATGCTCATATATTGCCTGTTATGTGCTCTCAACTTTTCACTGTTATTCATCTACAATAGTAATTGTTGTCCTTTTTGTGTACAACCAGTGGTCAGGTCTTTGTGGAGGAAAATCGTTTTGTGCCATTTGGTTGTGTACTATATATTATTAGTTACCCTCCACAATCACTAGTTTCAAAATTGGGTTAACTACCTATTCTAAGTTTCAATCTCTTCTTCACTTGAACTGAGAATTGTAGTAAGAATTACAACGATTAGATTGACTAGCAACATTGGTGCAGAGAGGTGGCACGGACTAGGTTTATGAACCTATATTTTCTCAATAATTACTTTCAGTTGTCTACTGTCGAGAGAGATTCTTAGCATGTCTACTGGTTTCTCACACATTTTTCTATCTCTAGGCTGCAGGGCTTCCTTGGACAGTTGCCAAAGGCCAAGACACCTTCACCCCCATTGGTTCAGTTGTAAGATCTCTTATATACCATCTATTTTGGCATTGGATTCTCCATTAAGCAGCATTGTACCTTGGTTTGAAATTTGTGTGCTCAAGATGCAGTGAACTTGTATATATTCACACACACAAACACATGAGAGTTTCCATAGAGAATATACTCTCTTTTCTTATAAGTTGCATCGACAACCCCCCTATTTTTTAATAAATTCCTGTACACTCTTTTAAACTTTATTTTAAGACTCTCGCAAGATGGCATCATGGCATCAAAAGCACAACATTTGAAAATTTCTTTCCTATACTGAAGTAGGTGCTGAATCGCATCGAATCTTCTATTCCAAAGGAGCAAATGTTTTGTGACTTGGACTTAAGTTGGTCAAAGTCTCTAAATTTGGAGTTTGTGTAGCTCCTATCTATGGAAAAATATTTTTCAAATTTCAATTTTTAGATCATGATGTTTATTAAGTTTTACCTTCTTGAGATGAAGTTAAAAGAACATGATGTATCTGCATATATGTAAAACATGGATTGTTGGAGGGTTCTCATTGTAACCTATAAGAAAACTGGGTATGTTGCCTATAAGAGACACAATCCCCACCCTGAACCCTCGCCCCCCCAAGGGACCCCTTAAACTTTTATTAGATTCGCCTATTTATTTTTACACACACACTTAAAATATTAAAAAAATAATTCTCAAAAAATAAATTGATCAAAATACCCCTTAAACTTTTATTAGATTCGTCTATTTATTTTTTGCTAATTATTTTTTAATATTTTATTAGATTCGCCTATTTTTTAGGAATAGACACTCAAAATTTCAATTGATTTGGATTAGTAAAAAAAAATATTAAAATTCAAATACGAAATTCAATCGTAACAATTAGATTACCCAGATTCAATTTGGGCCATTGGGCCTTTACTGTAGCTGTCAGTTAGTAGACTGATCTCAGATTCTCCGAGAATTATTATTTTTTGGAACTTTGTGTCAATCCAATGGCAATCTTACAAGCACCATTTTGAAATTTAAGGGACAAGAATGATTGGATTGTGACCTTCATGTACAAAAGATAAATGGTCCCACTAAATTTTTTAAGGGTATTTTGATCAATTTATATTATACAAATTAATTTTTTAATATTTTTATTAGTGTGCCTTGATGAGAAGAATAGATGCCTAAATTTTCACATGATTTAGATTTGTAGAAAAAAATTAAATATGAAATAAGGTCATGTCCGTCAGATCGGCTCAGATTGAATCTGGGCCATTGGG